CCATTTACATCCATTGTTATCCGTTTTTGATCCGTTTACATCCATTTTTCATCCATTTACATCCATACTGTTATCCGTTTTTGATCCGTTTACATCCATTTTTCATTCCATTTACATCCATACTTTTACATCCGTTTTTGATTTTCGTTACAATACATCATTTTTCATCCATTTACATCCATACTTTTATCGTTTTTGATCTCTACTTTTAACATCCATTTTTCATCCAACATTTACATCCATACTTTTATCCGTTTTTGATCCGTTTACAATCCCATTTTCATCCATTTAATCATAACTGATTATCCGTTTTTGATCAGTTTACATCCATTTTTATCCATTTACATCCATTACTTTATCGTTTTTGATCCGTTTACATCACATTTTTTCATCCATTTACATCCATAACTGTTATCGTTTTGATCCGTTTACATCATTTTTCATATCCATTTACATCCATAAGACTGTTATCACGTTTTTGATCCGGTTTTTTACATCCATTTTTGCATCCATTTTACATCATCCATACTTTTATCCGTTTTTGATCCGTTTACATCATTTTTCATCCATTTACATCCCATACTGTTATCCGTTTTTGATCCGTTTACATCCATTTTTCATCCATTTACATCCATACTTTTATCCGTTTTTTGATCTCGTTTACATCATTTTTCATCCAATTTAGATGTTCCATACGGTTTTTATCTCGTTTTTGATTCCGTTTACATCCATTTTTTTCATCCATACTGTTATCCGTTTTTCGATCCGTTTACATCCATTTTTCATACCATTTACATCTCATACTTTTATCGTTTTTGATCCGTTTTACATCCATTTTTCAATCTGGATGTAAACGGATGATCAATTTTTGATTCCGATACTCTGTTTTACATCTGGGTTTTTTCAATTCCATTTTTAATCTGGTTTACACATCTGTTTTTGTGTTTACATCCATTTTTCATATCCATTTACATCCATAACAACTGTTATACCGTTTTTGATCCGTTTTACATCCATTTTTCATCCATTTACACTCCATACTGTTATCCGTTTTTGATCCGTTTACATCCATTTTTCATTCCATTTACATCCATAATATTTATCCGTTTTTGATCGATTTACATCCATTTTTTATCCATTTATCACATCCATACTTTTATCCGTTTTTGATCCGTTTACATCCATTTTTCATCCATTTTTTACGATCCATATGTTATCCGTTTTTGATCCGTTTACATCCATTTTCATCGCCATTTACATCCATACGGTTGATATCCGTTTTTGATCCGTTTACATCAATTTTTTCATTCCCATTTACATCCATACTTTTATCCGTTTTTGATCACGTTTACATTCATTTTTTTCATCCATTTTAGATCCATACTTTTATCCGTTTTTGATCCGTTTACTTCCATTTTACCTTTTTAGTTCATAATCCGTTTTTGATCCGTTTACATCCTTTTTTCATCCATACTGTTATCCGTTTTTGATCGTTTACATCCATTTTTTCATCCATTTACATCCATACTTTTATCCGTTTTTGATCCGTTTAACATCCATTTTTCATTGGGGATGTAAACGGTATGTGATCATCTGTTGATATCCGCTACCTCTGTTTACATCTGGTTTTTCATCCATTTTTATCTGTTTACAATCTGTTTTTGGTCCTGTTTACATCCATTTTTCGAATCAGTCTGTTTTTTTGTTTTTTTTACAGATAGAAAAATTAGGGTTTTCTTTAATTTAAAAAAAAAAACTATATTAATGGATGTAAACGGATGATCATCTATTTACATCCGTTCTAGTCCATAGAAATACACAGGTGTCATTTTCCATCTGTAAACTGACAGATGATAATGTGACATACAGACACGCCCGTGTGAAAGGACCTGTATAAAGCGAAGTCTTGGTCCGTTTAGCTCCGATTTAAAAAAAAATGTGAATTTGAACGTGGCGTGGATGTTGGTGCCAGATGGGCTGGTTGAGTATTTCAAAACTGCTGATTCTCCTGGGATTTTTCATCAGAGGATTTCTTCACACTTCCTGTTTTAAACTAATGGAAAATAGATGTCCAGGAAAAAAAAAAGCCATGCCGGGTCTGATCCTCTCTCCATTTTAATACAAAAAGCCCTTTTTCTTCCGTAAGAAAAAAAAGCACGCAAAACAGATGTAATGGATCAAAAATGGGACGGAAACTGATTAAAAAGGATGTATAATGGATGTAAACAGATATGAAATGAAGGTAAGGGTCCGTTCACAACGCGCGTTCCATTTTATTCATCAGTTCAGTCACCATTTTTTTTTTTTTTCAAAATCGGAGCTAAACGGATCAAGACTTCACTTTTTACCTCCATGTAAACGGATGATCATCTGTTGACATCCGCTAGTCCATAAAATACACGGGTGTCTGTTTTTCATCCGTAAACGGACAGATGAAAACCGGACATACCCGTGTGAAAGGACCTGTAAAAAGCGAAGTCTTGATTAGTTCAGCTTCGATTTAAAAAAAAAAAAAATGCCACTGAACTGATGAGAAAAATGGAACGTGCATGTGAAAGGACCCTTAGGGATCTAGATGTGGTGAGGACGACTTGTTGAAGTTCAAACCGAGCATCAGAATGGGGAAGAAAGGGTATTTAAGTGACTTTGAACGTGGCGTGGTTGGTGGTGCCAGACAGGCTGGTCTGAGTATTTCAAAAATCTACTGGGATTTTTACTCTCAACCATCTCCAGGGAAATCCAGACTCATAAACCCAGGCCATGTTTTTCCAATCTTCTATTGTCAGATTTTGGTGACCTGTGCGACTTGCAGCCTCCGATTCCTGTTCTTAGCTGACCGGAGTGGCACCCGGTGTGGTCTTCTGCTGCTGAGTGGACCCCAGAGTGGCACCCGGTGTGGTCTTCTGTTTCTGAGTGGCCCGGAGTGGCACCCGGTGTGGTCTTCTGCTTCTGAGTGGCCCCGGAGTGGCATCTGGTGTGATCTTCTGCTTCTGAGTGGCCCCGGAGTGGCACCCGGAGTGGTCTGCTGCTGAGTGGCCCCCGGAGTGGCACCTGGTGTGGTCTTCTGCTGCTGAGTGGCATCCAGTGTGATTTTCAGCTGCTGAGTGGCCCTCAGAGTGGCACCGGTGTGGTCCTCTGTTGCTGAGTGGCCCCCGGAGTGGCACCCGGTGTGGTCTTCTGCTGCTGAGTGGCACCAGGTGTGATCTTCTGCTCTTGAGTGGCCCCCGGAGTGGCACCCGGTGTGGTCTTCTGCTGCTGAGTGGCACCTGGTGTGGTCTTCTGCTGCTGAGTGGCAGCCGGTGTGGTCTGCTGCTGAGTAGCCCCCGGAGTGGCACCCGGTGTGGTCTTCTGCTGCTGAGTGGCAGCCGGTGTGATCTTCTGCTGTTGAGTGTCACCCGGTGTGGTCTTCTGCTGCTGAGTGGCACCTGCTGTGGTCTTCTGCTGCTGAGTGGCACCCTGAGTGGCAGCCGGTGTGGTCTGCTGCTGAGTAGCCCCCGGAGTGGCACCCGGTGTGGTCTTCTGCTGCTGAGTGGCAGCCGGTGTGATCTTTTGCTGTTGAGTGGCACCCGGTGTGATCTTCTGCTGCTGAGTGGCCCCCGGAGTAGCACCCGGTGTGATCTTCTGCTGAGTGGCCCCCGGAGTGGCACCGGTGTGGTCCTCTGTTGCTGAGTGGCCCCCGGAGTGGCACCCGGTGTGGTCTTCTGCTGCTGAGTGGCACCTGGTGTGGTCTTCTGCTGCTGAGTGGCACCCTGAGTGGCAGCCGGTGTGGTCTGCTGCTGAGTAGCCCCCGGAGTGGCACCCGGTGTGGTCTTCTGCTGCTGAGTGGCAGCCGGTGTGGTCTTCTGCTGCTGAGTGGCACCCGGTGTGGTCTTCTGCTGCTGAGTGGCACCTGCTGTGGTCTGCTGCTGAGTGGCACCCTGAGTGGCAGCCGGTGTGATCTTCTGCTGTTGAGTGGCACCCGGTGTGATCTTCTGCTGCTGAGTGGCCCACGGAGTAGCACCCGGTGTGATCTTCTGCTGAGTGGCCCCCGGAGTGGCTCCTGGTGTGGTCTTCTGCTGCTGAGTGGCCCCCGGAGTGGCTCCTGGTGTGGTCTTCTGCTGCTGAGTGGCCCCTGAAATGGCACCTGGTGTGGTCTTCTGCTGCTGAGTGGCACCCGGAGTGGCACATGGTGTGGTGTTCTGCTGCTGAGTGGCCCCTGGAGTGGCACCCGGTGTGGTCTTCTGCTGCTGTAGCCCATTATTATTATTATTAGATCTCAAAAGATTGGATTATAAAATTGGATGATTTACAAATAATACATAGAGACTCTTTCAGAATTGGGAACTTTTATTTGATGGATCTGCCTTATATACAGTACATGACGATGTGATGTTTTCAAGAAGCTACGTTATGTACAGCACCCTGCTGGCCCCTCCCACCTAGCCATGATCTGCCTGCATTGCATAGAGAAGCACAGAGACTGAGTGATGTCTAAAATAAGGTATGTAATGAAAACATAATTTTTTTTTTTTTTTTTTTACAATTTTCATGAGCACTGTAACCAGGGAAGACAAAAATATATGCAGAATAAACTTCAGCCCTGACATAGACTTTAACATTTGAGAATAGATCAGGTCTGAAATGTTTTGACAAATGTTCCCCGATGCTGAGAATTCGAGGAATTAGGCACATGACTGTCAGCAGCAGCAGCTGCTAATCTTTCCTCTGGAAGGCCGTTTCCTGTTGTGCTGGGATTGTCAGGAGTATGGGGACATTGACAGACAGTAAGACGTGTCACACCTCTTGTAGGCTGTAGAGGGCGCTTCCAGAATTCGTTTTATTGTTCTGCAGATGTTCACACTTACATGGTCTGAACATAGATAGTTGTGCCAACGCAGGGGGGGAGGGGAGGGACGGCACTTCTGGTGCTAGCCAAAATTTTTTTTCTTTCTGAAATCTTCAGACTCAGCTGTCAGACCGGGTTCAAACATGGCCATTGATATGAGATTGGTTACCCAATCTAGCCAAAATTTGAGGTCTAGGGCAGGGGCGGACTGACCATTTGGAAACTCGGGCACTGCCCGAGGGCCTGGGGTCAGTAGGGGGCCCCATGAGATGCCCCTGGTACCTTTTTCATAGGCTTTTTTGAGTTTGGGCAAGGACACAGGGGTCCCATGATCCCCTATTGTCTGGGGGCCCCATGAGTTGTCAGTCCGCCCCTGGTCTAGGGACACCCAGCCTATGAAGAATCGTGCTTTCTCTGCAGCTTTTCATACATCTCGCTACATTGTACATTTTTTATTTTTTTAAGAGACACGTTTGCATAGTGAACACACCCAAAAAACATCACATTTCTGATCAGAGATGGGCAGAGTGGCGTTGATTGATTTATTTGACACTAAAAACACTTCTACTTATGCAGCCCATAGAAAAAAATGAAAAATCGGTCATTCAATAGAGCAACGTTACCACCAATGGTGAAAAAAAAATCGGCCGATTTTCATCCCGTCTACAGTCGGCATTTAATTACTTCTGTCCGTGCAGAGAGCTCCGCTATTATATTTGACATGAAAAAGTCTTGCAGTTGCAACAATGTATCCATTTCGGATACAGATGGTTTTATTCGGATACAAATAGATACATTGTTGCAACCGCAAGACTTTTCATATAAAATATAATAGTGGACTGGAATTCTTCTTTTTCTTCTTCCTCTTCTCCTTCCTCCTTCTTTCTTTCTTCTTCTTTCTTCTTCTTCTCAGATTTTTTATTGCTAAAATAATCGGCCGATTTGCCCATCATTGCCAATAAAAAAAATGTGCCAAAAACCCTGAAAAATGGCCAACCAATTAACCCACTAAGGGTGCAAAAATCTGCCGTTTTTTTTTTTTTTTTTTTTTTTTTTTTCGGCCGATTTTCTTGTATTTTATTCCAAGTAGACATGCATTGTATTTTTTTATTATACGTTTTTTGCATATATTTATATTTACATTTTGATTATTTACAAATGTGGCTTCTAAGCCCATATTTTCTTGGGATATTTACTCACTTTTATCTGTGTTTGTTATTTTATTTTTCATTTCTAAAAAAAAAAATCTTTTTCTCTTTCTTTGTTTCTCCTTTTCTTCCACTTCCATTTCCTTTTTTTCTTTTTCTCCTTTCTTGTTGTTCTCTGAGATCACTACTTCTGATACAATGGTTTTATATGTTTTGTTACAATGTGTTCAGGGGCAGACTGACCATTTGGAAACTCGGGCACTGCCCGAGGGCCCAGGGTCAGTAGGGGGCCCCATGAGATGCCCCTGGTACCTTTTTCATAGGCTTTTTTGAGTTTGGGCAAGGACACAGGGGCCCCATGATCCCCTATTGCCCGGGGGCCCCATGAGTTGTCAGTCCACCCCTGAATGTATTAGTAGGCGTACCCTCAGGATTCAGAAGTGCTAATGAGGACAGGTGTTCTTTATTAACTAATACCTCTATAATGCAGGTACAGCACAGTGGCGTAGTGGGTAGCACTTCTGCCTTGCAGTACTTGGGTCATGGGTTCAATTCCCAACCATGTGCACCTCCTACTTGGAGTTTGCATGGTGTTTGTGTGGGTTTCCTCTGGGTACTCCGGTTTCCTCCCACACTCTAAAGACATGCTGGTAGATTAATTGGCTCCTATCTAAAGTGTCCTAGTTCACCCCTGGCCATGTGGGATCTCCTGCATGGTGGGGGTTGGGGAAAGACCTGGCAACCTACCCTGTAAAATAATTGCTAAGAGAATTCATGGAAAAAAGTCGCTTACAAGTTGACAGTCCATGCAATCACCAAGGGTCGGATATGACTGAATGGGATAGAGATATAATGCAGGCCATTCATGGTTCAAATTCCTAAATGATTTTTCATCCAAAAAATCGAAATGTTCATTCTGTAATCCGATGGTGCCATCAATGATTTCAAAAATTGTTTTTCACAAATTTTCCAGCATGCTGATAAACGAAATGGGGAGGAACCACGAAAATCGGCCGATGCCATTGCCTCACTAACAGAGTGAAAATCGGCCGATTATTCTTAGGTCCGAATTTAGTACAAAAATCGTTCGGAATTCGAACCGTGTATGGCCTGAATTAGACAGAACTTTTGTTGTTTCCTTTGTTATGATTAAGCACGAGATCGCGTGAAACGCGTTAACAGGTCCTGTATTCATGTCCTGGTGTTTTGTGTGTCCTATGGATCAATACATACACCAGAGGCATAGCTAGGATATTTTGTGCCCGGGAACGAACTATAAAATTGGTGCCCCAGCCCCCCTACCCGTTTAATCACATCAGTGACACCAATGATGGGGCACTATTCCTCCCACTGACACCAATGATGGGGCACTATTCCTCCCACTGATACCAATGATGGGGCACTATTCCTCCCCTGACACCAATGATGCACTATTCCTCCCACTGACACCAATGATGGGGCACTATTCCTCCCACTGACACCAATGATGGGGCACTATTCCTCCCACTGACACCAATGATGGGGCACTATTCCTCCCACTGACACCAATGATGGGGCACTATTCCTCCCACTGACACCAATGATGGGGCACTATTCCTCCCACTGACACCAATGATGGGGCACTATTCCTCCCACTGACACCAATGATGGGGCACTATTCCTCCCACTGACACCAAATGGGCACTATTCCTTGACACCTTGCTGACCCCTGCTCCAGCCTAGGCTCCTTCCCTCTCCCATCCACAGCCAGCACCACCATCTGCATGGCACACTTACTGGTCAGCTGTCTTCTTCACTTGCTCCGGCCGCTCACCTCACTCGATCTTCGCGCTGCGCGCTCGGCTCCTCCTCTACGAACTCCGTCTCCTCGCCTTGGCCGCCTGTGTGCCTTTCCTGAGCTACAGTTTTGGCGCCCAATCACCGGTGAGGAGGCGGAGCTTGCAGAGAGAGGTAAAAGCTGGCGTAGGCTGTCCAGTGATCCCGAGGGTGTGGCCAGATGACAGGGGCGGCATGTCATCCCGCCCACACATCGCGTCCAGGGAAAAGAAGACACTGGACCTGCGAACCTCTCTACCCCTCCTCCAGCAGCGCCTCCTGGACTGGATCGTCGTGGGACTGGGACACGGAGCCAGGTAAGACACAGCAGCCCGCTGCCACCCCTGTACTAAGTGTCCCTTCCGTTGGAAAGGGCGCGGTGCCGCCGCCCCCCTATAAAGTGCCGCCTTAGGCAAACACCTTGTCTGCCTAGCGGCAAATACACCCCTGGTTGTAAGCCTCATTTTGGCGCCCCTGTACCTTGGCGCCCGGGTACATATGTACCCCCCTGCCCCCCTGAAGGTAAATCTAAAGGAAATTGTAATAAAATTGTATAGTGTATGGCCAAAAGTGATTTGTCAGTGAAAAAGTGAATTAAAGCAAAAAATAAATTAAAGCAATAGTAAACTGCAAGAAAGAAAAAACAAAAAGTCCCCTGCAAGGTATTGTAACGTGTTAGTATACATGGCATCCTAGTACATTATGTAAAACTTACCTTACAATGAAGCCCTCCAGTGGTACGCTGTCACCCCTGCAGAGGCTTCCATCTTCACCCGGTTCTTCATCCGGGTTTGTGATCTCTGGCCGTCTGACAGGCCGGGCCACGATGACGTCATGCGCGGGAGTCCCAGGCCAAGGCACGGGTATGCCGTTCCTTCAGAGCACATGCACCAGCTTTAGGAAAGAGAATATCTCCTAAACAATGCATGTTAAGGAGATATTAACAGCTTCCTATAGAAGATATACTGCTACAGGGCGGCACGGGTGCGCAAAATCACATATGTATACGTGTTTTTGCATTTCCGTGTAGGCCCTACCCGCGCCACCATTCGTGGCCTCGGCTGTCAATCACCGGGTCCCAGACAGTAATTTCCCCACCGGCACCCAGCAATCGCCGAGTATCAGTGACGGGGGAGAGACCTGTATCTAAACAATACAGATCTCTCACCTGTCAGCTCCTGCACACTGTTTTGTATGGCTCTGCATAGTAGTGTGCTTACAGTCTAAAGCGCACACACAGCACACAGTTAACCCTTTGATCGCCCAGATGTTAATCCCTTCTTGTCCAGTGCCAGTACAGTGTCAGTGCTTTTAATTAGCACTGATTACTGTTTTGGTGTCGCTGGGATGTCAGTGACACCAAGTCAGTTCCCCCCAGTGTCAGAATGTCTGCCGCAGTCCCGTTATAAGTCGCTGATCGCTGCCATTACTAGTAAACATTAGTAGTAATTTAATTAGCACTGATCACTGTATTGGTGTCACTGGGGATGTCAGTGGGTCCCCCCCCCCCCCCCCCAGAATGTCAGAATGTCCACCGCAGCCCCACTATAAGTCGTCAGATTGCCACCATTACTAGTAAACAGTAATTTAATTAGCACTGATCACTGTATTGGTGTCACTGGGGATGTCAGTGACACCAAGTCAGTCCCCCCCCCCCCCCAGTGTCAGAATGTCCACCGCAGCCCCACTATAAGTCGCTGATTGCCACCATTACTAGTAAACAGTAATTTAATTAGCACTGATCACTGTAATGGTGTCATTGGGGATGTCAGTGACACCAAGTCAGTTCCCCCCCCAGTGTCAGAATGCCTGCCACAGTCCCGCTATAAATTTCTGATTGCTGCCATTACTAGTAAAAAAAAAATAAAAATATCCCAGTATATATACCGCCATTTGTAAACGCTATAACTTTCACATAAACCAATTCATTTACACGAATTGGGATTTTATTTTAGCAAAGACATGGAGCAGAATATATTTTGGCCTAAATTTATGACAAAATTAGATTTTTTTATATTTTTTTTACTGAACATGTTTAATAGCAAAAAGTCAAAAATATAGTTATTGGGGTTTTTTTTTTCAAAATTGTCAGCCTTTTTTGTTTATGGCGCAAAAATAAAAACTCAGAAGTGACAAACACCACCGAAAGAAAGCTCTATTTGTAGGAAAAAAAGAACGTAAAGTTAATTTGGGTGCAGCGATGCATGACCGCGCAATTGTCAGTTAAACTAATGCAGGCCATAGGCGGTTCGAAAATCGGCCAATTTTTCAGGCCGAAAAAAAAAATCGACCCATTTTCGCACCGCTAGTGGGTTAATTGGTCAGCTATTTTGGGGTTTTGGCAAAATATTTTTATCGGTAAAGTTGGAAAAAAAATCAG